CTCCTGGGTTCAGGCAATTCTCCTGCCTCAGCCTCCTGAGTAGCTGGGATTACAGGCATGCACCACCATGCCCAGCTAATTTTTTGTATTTTTTTGTAGAGACGGGGTTTCACCATGTTGACCAGGTTGGTCTCGATCTCTTGACCTTGTGATCCACCCGCCTCGGTCTCCCAAAGTGCTGGGATTACAGGCTTGAGCCACCACACCCGGCCAGAAATCAGTTTTTAACTGAAACTTGACTTTTGTCTTACGTAAGAAGAGCTACTAGTTTGAACTAGCCTCAGACCACATACTTTGGACTAACAAGCAATAGAATTCTTTTTGCCATCAATATACTTGATTGTATTACCCTTTTTCTGTTATGAGGCTTCTGGAATATGTTGCTAGAATGAATTATAGTTGTCATCTGTCTAAAACCTTAAGAGTTCACCTAGTATTTATTTGAATTTGTTTTATCATCCCAGAGTCTCTAATGGAATTTGCACAGCCAGAGATACAACCACAAGAGGTAAGATACTGAAAGACAATTTGCTCATGTTGATTTTTCAGCCTTTTGTATAAGTTGTGGTTAGAAACTAAGGCTCTGGAGCTTGAACCCTGGTTCTGCAGTTTACTAGCTTAGGGATTTTGGGCAAGAAACCTGGTCCAGCTGTGTCTGTTATCCTCATACGTAAAATAGGATAATGATAATGACTACTTAATGGGGTTATTGTGAGAATTAAAGAGGTTGATCTAATTTTGAAATTATTTAGATTTCGCCTGGCACGCTAACTGCCCAAGTGTTACCTATTTTTGCCTGCTGTGTTAGAGGAACTTTCAGATGCACAGGACTTTACTCTCTCCAGAATTTACTCACATTGGTAGCAGAAAAGGCATTTGTTCTCTTTCTGAAGTGACATTGAAATTCATGGGAAGCTGAAAAGAAGGGGATATTCAAAAACAGTATAATTGATGTATAAGGGAAATAAAACACTGGTAACTTAGGAAAGGTATGGCTTAAGGTTACACATTTTAACTTTGAAGTTGAACTATCCTCTGCCTTTTAATGTTTGAGGGAGTCAACTGGGGAGAGGGGTCCTAAGGCTGGCAAATGTGGAACAACATTCATTGGTAAAGAGTCCGAATCAAGCAAACCTTGTTAGTCTTAGGCAAGTCAAACAGAAATTGCTACTTTTAAAGTATCGAAGTCTGTATTTCTGTTAATTGAGGAAAAAGGAATGGACAGAGAAGTAGGAAAGTCTTTCCAAGTAAAATAAGGACAGAAATTTCATATTAGCACAACAGCTTAGATCAGTGAACATAGCAATACTAATAGAGTTGAATATTCCCTTCAAGCTCTTCTATGAATTTTGTGACTTAATTGCATTGTTTCTCTGTCTAGTTTCTTAACAGACGCTATATGACAGAAGTAGATTATTCAAACAAACAAGGCGAAGAGCAACCTTGGGAAGCAGATTATGCTAGAAAACCAAATCTCCCCAAACGTTGGGATATGCTTACTGAACCAGATAGTCAGGAAAAGAAACAGGAATCCTTCAAGTCCTGGGAGTCTCCTGGTAAGCACCAGGAGGTATCCAAGCCTGCAGTTTCCTTAGAACAGAGAAAACAAGATACCCCAAAACTCAGGTCTAGTGTACCAGAAGAGCAGAAGAAGCAGGAGATCTCCAAATCTAAGCCATCTCCTAGCCAGTGGAAGCAGGAAACTCCTAAATCCAAAGCAGGATATGTTCAAGAGGAACAAAAGAAGCAGGAGACACCAAAGCCATGGCCGGTTCAGCTGCAGAAAGAACTAGATCCAAAGAAGCAAACTCCAAAGTCTTGGACACCTTCTGTGCAGAGTGAACAGAACACCACCAAGTCATGGACCACTCCCATGTGTGAAGAACAGGATTCAAAACAGCCAGAGACTCCAAAATCCTGGGAAAACAATGTTGAGAGTCGAAAACACTCTTTAACAACACAGTCACAGATTGCTCCGAAGTCCTGGGGAGTAGCTACAGCAAGCCTCATACCAAATGACCAGCTCCTGCCCAGGAAGTTTAACACAGAACCCAAAGATGTGAGTTGATCTGAATCATTCTGCTTCTGTCACTGTAGGCATAAATAAGGTGTTGTGGGTAATATCTTTTTAGTTCTCTTTAAAAAAACAGCAAAACCCATGTAAGTTTATGTATAAAGTATTTCACCCTCTTTAGTGGGTAGATTTGTTTTCCTTCGAAAACTGAGAGTTAATCTAGTCTGTCTTTGAGCCTAATCTGAGATGAAATTTCTACAGTTATAAAATGTTTTAATGCCAAAATTTTAACAACATAATATGATATCAACATAGTGGATAGTTTAGACAAGATCATTATGTGAACAAGTGAGTAATGTAAATGCTTGTCACAGGATGTGAGATACTATATTTCATTTGTTGTCATCTACCTGCTATATGAATAACTTTTTCTGACAAGTTAAAATTTTCTACATTCTCTTGCTTCTCTTCTACTCATTTATGGTCACTCAATTTAGCCCAGATCTTCATGAAGAAGGTTTAGGGTTGCAGATATTTCAGTATTGGGGGAAGGGATTTGAATTAGTTCTCTATTTCCATTTCAGAATGAGAATTTTTCCAAAGATAGGAAAACTGTTGGCATTAAATATTTTGTAGCTAGATTTTAGAGTACAAGATTAGTTAAAATATAAGGCCACATTCTTTTAAGGATAAATAACCTATTTCAGGTAGTAACACTTATATTGAATAATTCTTGGGTACAATGCTATGTTAGTGTTGCTTTTTATTAAATTATAAATTAGTTATTTACCACTATGTATAATGCAAACTTGTTACCGCCCCATTTGCTGAGGTATATGAACTTCTGCTTCCGGTGTTCTCTATCTCTATGGAGTAGTCTTTCTTGCACTTTTGTGCCATTTTAGCTAAAGGCTTTCTGATAAACTGTTGACCCTCTAATATAGTAATGTGAAAAACATTTTGCTTGGGGAAAGCAAAACTTTGCATTTTATAAGTAAATTACCCTTGGCTTAATTCTGGTGTATGGAAACAGAATTTTAGAGTTATTTGGCTGCTTTTTCACTCCTTTCTCTCTCTTTTCAAGTTGCTAATATTAATTTTAGCTTCTTCCTTACCCTATAGAAGATTGGCAACTTTATTAACCAAATATCAAACAACAGTAACTGTAACATAACTATTTTTGAAAAGCATTTAAAAAGCCAATTTAATATCTCAATAAAGCTACTTTTAAAAACCTGGTTTAAAATTCCGCTAGGTATAGCAATGCAGAACCTTTATCATAACAGAATATTATCATGCTATTTGTTGAATCGCATTTAAAATCAGGGTTGCATATTTCAAAAGGTCAAAACTCATATTTAATTTGCTTTCCTAGCACAGATAGCATTATATTGAAATTGTAGTGTTTTTTCAGTGATTCAGAGGATACTTCTTTGTGTAATGTAGTATTTTTCTGTCTTGGAATTTGAACTGTCTAGAACACTAAGTACAGTCAAATGCAGAATAGAATTCAAAACCAAAAGACTAAACGTGAGATTAATCATTAATGTTCATACTTTCCTTCTAAAAGAGTCCCATATGAATTCACTTACAGTCTCTTAACTCTTATTTTATCTGGTACCTTTGACAAACTTAGCTGTGTACCTTCTTTGTGAATTAGAAGGTGGAGAAGAGGAGCTAATGGAGACTGGCATGCTGACAGCTTTAAAAAGTAACCGTAAATTGGTCTAATTCAGGATGTGCGCAATTTTAAACAATTTAGGATGAAGACTAACCACCTTGTAAACATAAATAGCCCTCGAGAGTGTACTTACTTTATAACAAAATGTAGGGTATCCCCCTCAATTTTAGGGTATGTGTGTATGTGTGTATGTACTTACATATGTATTTACATCTTGATTTGTGAAATCAGATACATCTTAAAAATGGGATATTTAAGGTGATAGTAATTTTTGCCCTGTGGAAAAAAAATCATTGGTATGTCTCATAGTCAGTGGCATCTTATTCTAGAGGACATTTGGTAACTCATGTCCATAGTGGAAACACTCTTAACAAGGAAGTTCTGCTGGATCTTTTCTTTAAAAACAATATTCTGTATTTTAGAAAGTTCCATGAAAATTGTGAAGGGGAAAAATCTGTTTAAAGTTTGCTTATTTAGAAAAGGTATTTATGAGGAAATTCTTTACCTGTGTTAAATGAACATTGCTGTTTTGTCTTTTCCTTTAAGATGTAGTGATAAGCTGTTTCCTAGATTAGGGTCTTAGCTGTTTCCTAGATTAGAATTTGAATTTCACTGTTACACATTATGGGTTTATTTTGTAGGTGCCTAAGCCTATGCATCAGCCTGTAGGTTCTTCCTCTACCCTTCCGAAGGATCCAGTATTGAGGAAAGAAAAACTGCAGGATCTGATGACTCAGATTCAAGGAACTTGTAACTTTATGCAAGTATGAGTCATTTACAAAATCTTAAATGATATTTATGGGAGTTCTGATTGGAAACATTACAGTGAAATTATTAAGAGCATAGATTATTCTGTCAAGTCCTGGCTCTGCCGCCTCCTAGCTCTCCTAGCCTAGAGTTTAGGCAAATTACTTGATTCTACCTCAGTTTCTTTATTTGAAAAATGAGGAGTATTGTTTCTACTTCCTAAGTTTGTTAGAACAACAACAAAAATAATTAAACGTGTGAAAAGCTTAACTTGCTCCAGTATCGTTACTGCTATAGATCATCAATAGTGAGAACTCTGAGAACCCACTGTAAGAACCTACTGTATGCTTGGTATTGTTAGGTACCATTACATTATAGATAGAGAAAATAAGACATTCATTGCCTTCAATGGATTTATATTCCAGTTGTAGAAGATTGTAAATTTGTGTTAAATCAGTAGTTAAATGATAAATTGTGTTATACAGTATGTTTAATTAAGTTGTGAGATACAGACACTTACAGAATTTGAGAATGATATGAGATTACTGAGGACTGAAGTAGTCAAAATAAGTATTTTTGTTTAGTGAAAGATCCTGAGCTTTGAATATAGGCCTGGGTTTAAATTTCAATTCTGTTACCAGCTGTTTATTTAACGTCCCACACTTATTTGCAAAATGTAGGAATTGCCTATACCATCAGATTACTTGAAGATAAAAGAACTTAAATGCTCCCTGCAAGGTTGTAGTTTAAGTATGCAAAATACTGGGAAGTTTTTTTTGGAGAACCAAGATAGGGAGATAAAAGAGAATGGTTTCTCATTGTGAAAGTGTTTTAACAGCATGAGTTAGTAAATGGTTGAAATAAATACGTGCTCCTTGGTTGGGTGTAATAAAAATGAGGGTTCTGAGTAGACTAGGATTGATGACTGTGTTTAGGGCCTTAGTAAGGTTAAGAGTTTGTTTTCTGACTTAGGTTTTAGAATTACAATTGTAGTGTTTTTGTTGTTTTGTTGTTTTTTTTTAAAGGCATGATCTAGCTCTGCTTGCTGAGGCTGGGGTGCAGTGGCGTGTTCATAGCTCACTGTAGCCTCAAACTCCTGGGCTCAAGTGATCCTCCTGTCTCAGCCTCCTAAGTATCTGAGACTACAGGCACATACCACCATGCCTAGCTAATTCTTAAAAAAACTTTTAGTAGCAACAAAGTCTTACTTTTTTGCCCATGCTGGTCTTGAACTCCTGAGCTCAAGCAGTCCTCCTACCTCAGCCTCCTAAAGTGCTCGGATTACAGGTGTGAGCCATAGAGCACGGCCTGTGCTTGTGGTTTTAACACTCTACACGCCTTAAGGGTTGGCAGTTACTTTAGATTTTACTTTCAATTCTTAATTTCTTTTTCAATGAAGACTTTTTGACCTCTTGAGATAGTGATTAGCTAGATATCTGTAGCTAATAGTCTATAGGCAGCATCATGAATAATTTAATGGTAATAGCTTTTAAATGACTAATCTTTGTTTTTTACTCCTTATTTAAAATCATGTCTTTAGGAGTCTGTTCTGGACTTTGACAAACCTTCAAGTGCAATTCCATCGTCACAGCCGCCTTCAGCTACTCCAGGTAGCCCCGTAGGTATGTAATCATGCTAAAGACTTGGAGCAAACATCTTGAGCTTCCAGCTGTTTGTTGTTGTTGTGTTTTCAAATGATATTATTTTAGATGTTCTAATATGTTGGTGTATTTTTTCTAACTGTATCCATCTGTTAACAGTTATATGTGGGTAAATTACCATTAGGACATTAGTGTACTTAACTGACTTGGTTTCATGTTTTGGAGAAAGGCTCTGGCTAGGTGAATGGAAATACTCAATAGCTTTTTTATAGTTTATGTTGTTGGAGTGAATTCTAACTAGAACTTGCTTGACTCCTTCGGACTCTAAATCTAGTGTTGAGGCTTTTGGGTCTTAACTACTGGTCAGATTACTACAATGAAGTGTAGAACAGTGATTAACACGGTAACTAATGAAGGAGACTACTTTTGAATCTGGCCAGATGCTTCAGTGCTTAGGCCTTTTGCTCCGTGTTTGTTTCCCTCCAGAGAGGAGTGACATAAAGCTAGTCCAGCTGTAGTGAGCAGTATACACCAGCTTGATGATTGGTGTAGCAATTCCTGGATGAAGTAAGGACAGTAAATAGAGAGTAACTAATAAAAATGATGGATATTAACAAGAAGAAACAAACTATATAATTGAAAAGTATGTTAATATATGTAATCAGAAAAAAACTGAACAGATGATCCAGATAAGGTTGACTTTGAAATTTGTGAAACTTAAGTTTATCAGTTAATTGCTATGCCTGGTAGCTCAGGTCTTATCTTCCAGATCACTATTATCAGTTATTTTTAAATGTCTTAGTTCTTTTTTTTTTTTTTTTTTTT